CGCTGGGTGGGTCTAGGATCTGGGGTGACTTAGACTTGGGGACCCTGTGTCGTGCATTGCGTATCCCGCCCATTCCCGGGAAAGCTAGAGCTCAGCCGGCCCTGGCTGTGGGCAGAGCACGCCCCCTGCTGGGCACGGCCGGAATCCGCGCAGCTACGAACATTGGTACCCTGGATAGAGGCCCCCACTCAAAATGAGCACCCACCCAGCTCCCCGCTCCCCGGCTGAAACTGACCCCTGATACAGAGCTTCCGACGCTGCGTTGAGCCCCAACTCTGAGCTAAGCTCTAGACCCCGAGTCACTGGTCCCAGGCTTAGCCTCCAACCCCGGATAGAGACCCTGGTCTGTTCAGACCATCTCTCCCCTAAGGATGTCCGACCACCTAGAGGAGCTGTATCCATTGCTCCCAACTCACTAATCCCACCTCTGCCACGACCTGTCTGAGTGGCCTGGGACAGGTTACTTGTTTTTCATCATCTGTGAAATGAGACACCTGTAGGGTGTCACAGCATTGTAGGGTTGCTGTGAGAATTTGGTGAGTTAATGTATGTAAAGTCCTCACAGTGACTGGAACGTAGTAGGTGCTCAGTAAATATTAACTATAGTAGTAGTAGTGTCAGTCACTCTGTCCTATCCCACTCTTTGCGACTCCATGGACTGTAGCTCACTAGACTCCTCTGTCCATGGAATTCTCCAGGCAAGAATACTGGAGTGGGTAGCCATTACCTTCTCCAGCGGATCTTCCTGATCTAGGGATCAAATTCAGGTATCCTGCACGGCAGGCAGATTCTCTATGGTCTGAGCCACTATGGAAGTCATCAACTATAGCATTGTTATTATTGCCAGATATACTGCTAGGCACTTTAAAAGAAAAATAACTTTGTCGAGACATAATTTATATACCATACAATTCACCCACTTAAAGCATACAATTCAGTGGTTTGGTATGTTACAGTATTCATTTTCTAAAATTATGGCAAATATATAATAAAAATTACCATTGTAAGCCTTTTTAAATGCACAGTTCAGTGGCATGAAGTACCTTCACAATGTCGTGAATCCCCACTATCATCTCCAGAACTTTTCCATCAACTGCAACACAAACTCTGTCCTCATGAAACCCTAACTCCCCATTCCTGTCCCCCCAGTCTCTGGTCACATCTATTCTACTTTCTGTCTGTGGATTCTCTCATTCAAGTTCCCTCATATAAGTGGATCATACAATATTTATCATCTATTTTTTTTTTCTTAAATTTTGACTGCACCTCACGGCATGCAGATCTTCCCTGACCAGGGATCGAACCTGTGCCCCATGTAGTGAAAGAGAGGAGTCTTAACCACTAGGCCACCAAAGAAGTGGCGAATGTTGATCATCTTATGATTGGCACCTTAAACCTATTTTTAAGCTTCATTCATGTTAGCATGAATAACTTCCTTCCTTTTTATGACTGAATTATATTTCACTGTTTGGAGAAGGAAATGACAACCCCCTCCAGTATTCTTGCCTGGAGTATCCCATGAGCAGAGGAGCCTGGCTAGCTACAGTCCATGGGGTCGTAAGTGTCGGACACGACTTAGTGACTAAACCACCATATTTCACTGTGTGGGTGGGTTGGGTTTTCCAGGTGGCTCAGTGGTAGAGAACCTGCCTGCCAATGCAAGAGATGTGGGTTTGATCCCTGGGTGGGGAAGATCCCCTGGGGAAGGAAATGGCAACCCACTCCAATATTCTTCCCTGGGAAAGTCCATGGACAGAGAAGCCTGGTGAGCTATAGTCCATGGGGTCACAAAGGCTTAGCAACTGAACAATAACAAATGGATGGATCACATTTTGTTTACCTATTCCTCTGTCGATGCACATTTGGGTTATTTTGTCTTTAGGCTAGTGTAAATCATACTGGTATTAAAATTGTTATGAAAAAATATACTTGTTAAAGTCCTTCCTTTCAACTCCTTGGGGTATATACCTAGGAGTGGAATTGCTGGATAATATGGTAATTCTATGTTTACTTTTCTGAGAAATGACCAAGCTGTTGTCCACAGAAGTTTCACCATTTTGTATCCCTGCCACAAACTATGAAGGTTCTAATTTCTTCGTATCCTCCTGGACACTTTTCTTTTTTGGCTGCACTGCCCAGCATGTGGAATCTTAGTTTCCCAGGATCGAACCCATGCCCCCTGCAGTTAAAGGATGGAGTCTTACCCACTGTACCACCAGGGAAGTCCCTCCCGGGCACTTCTTATTCATTCTTTTATTTTTTGGCCTCGTTGCTTGTGGGATCCTAATTTTCTGACCACGGATTTAACCTGTGTTCTCCTTTGTGAAATCACGGAGTCCTGGTCACTGGACCACCAAGGAATTCCCTTCATTCATTCTTATTTGTGGGTTTGTGTGCTTTATTTTTTAAAATTTTATTGTTTTAAATTATGAAAGTATGATAACACATTTATTGGAGACCTGGAAAATGCAGAACAAGGTTACATATAGTTCCACTATATATTACAATTATCTTTTTAAGTAGATAAAGATTTTTAGTTGGAGTTTCAATATCAAACTCTCAAAAATTAACAGAATGAATATACAGAAGAGTAGAAGGATATGAAGTGAAGAAGTGAAGCCGCTCAGTCGTGTCCGGCCCTTTGTGACCCCATAGACTGTAGCCTACAAGCCTCCTCTGTCCATGGAATTTTCCAGGCAAAAGTACTGGAGTGGGTCACCATTTCCTCCTCCAAGGGATCTCCCCAAGCTAGGGATCGAGCCCGGGTCGCCCGCACTGCAGGCAGACGCTTCACCGTCTGAGCCCCCAGGGAAGCCCCTGTAGAAGGATATAATAGACCTGAAAATCACTATGAACCAATCCAACATAATTAAGATTTATACAATTTCCACACAACAGTAGGATACAAACTCTATTATTATTTCCATGTCAGTGCATAGGAACGCCAATACAGAGCGTCCGGGATGAGAAACTAGTACCTGGCTGTGAATGGGAGGAGGTGGGACAAAAATTACTGGGCTAAAATCCTGGACCTGCCACTTTCGCTTGCAGGTCCTCAGGCAAGTCACTTCCACTCTCGGGGTCTCAGTCACCTGATTTAAAAAACAACAACAATCCCCTGCAGTTAAAGGATGGAGTCTTACCCACTGTACCACCAGGGAAGTCCCTCCCGGGCACTTCTTATTCATTCTTTTATTTTTTGGCCTCGTTGCTTGTGGGATCCTAATTTTCTGACCACGGATTTAACCTGTGTTCTCCTTTGTGAAATCACGGAGTCCTGGTCACTGGACCACCAAGGAATTCCCTTCATTCATTCTTATTTGTGGGTTTGTGTGCTTTATTTTTTAAAATTTTATTGTTTTAAATTATGAAAGTATGATAACACATTTATTGGAGACCTGGAAAATGCAGAACAAGGTTACATATAGTTCCACTATATATTACAATTATCTTTTTAAGTAGATAAAGATTTTTAGTTGGAGTTTCAATATCAAACTCTCAAAAATTAACAGAATGAATATACAGAAGAGTAGAAGGATATGAAGTGAAGAAGTGAAGCCGCTCAGTCGTGTCCGGCCCTTTGTGACCCCATAGACTGTAGCCTACAAGCCTCCTCTGTCCATGGAATTTTCCAGGCAAAAGTACTGGAGTGGGTCACCATTTCCTCCTCCAAGGGATCTCCCCAAGCTAGGGATCGAGCCCGGGTCGCCCGCACTGCAGGCAGACGCTTCACCGTCTGAGCCCCCAGGGAAGCCCCTGTAGAAGGATATAATAGACCTGAAAATCACTATGAACCAATCCAACATAATTAAGATTTATACAATTTCCACACAACAGTAGGATACAAACTCTATTATTATTTCCATGTCAGTGCATAGGAACGCCAATACAGAGCGTCCGGGATGAGAAACTAGTACCTGGCTGTGAATGGGAGGAGGTGGGACAAAAATTACTGGGCTAAAATCCTGGACCTGCCACTTTCGCTTGCAGGTCCTCAGGCAAGTCACTTCCACTCTCGGGGTCTCAGTCACCTGATTTAAAAAACAACAACAACAAAAAAGGGTGGGATAAAGAGACATTTTATCCCTTTCTGCCTCCTGAAGTCTGTGCCAGGGTTGTGTGTGCCCCACGTAGAGGACAGAACTCAAGCTGCACTGGTTGTGCAGCCTGCTCTGGCCCCCCTGGTCCTAGCTGCAACTGGGACCCAGGGGTTGGAGATTCAGGGAGGAAATGGAGCGGCAGGGGCTCTGGGAGCTGCTCCTGGGTCCGGTTCCCAGGACTCACAGCTGCATCCTCTGGGGGCCCCAGCTGGCCCCATCGCCCCACCCGCCAGCGGCCTGGAGGCTCCTGCAGATCTCGCTGGCTCATTCCCACGGACATCGTGCCTGGATCTGGGAAGTCCCCTGGTGGGATCTCCAGGGTCCATCCGCGTAGCGACTGCATTAAATCTAACCTGGTGAATTTATCTGCAACCCAGAAAGATGTATCTTCAACACTGGGTTAGATTCAGCCCGTCTGGAGGGTACAGCAATCTATATTTTTTATCTACATTTTTAATGGTCATTAAAATGGTCATTCTGTAGTAAAGGGTTCCCGGGGCCGTACTTTAAACGGAGTCCCAGTGGGAGAAAGGGGCAGTCCCAGAGCCACACAGTTGTTGTTTTTCTTTCTGGCTCGCTTTGTCTCCATGATCCTCATATCTCTGTTTTTGACTCTAAGTCTCCTTCCTCTCCTTTCTTGGACTGGCCCCGGGGTTGGCCTCTCCCCTGGCATCCGGTCCCTTTCGTGATTCCGGAGGAATCCCCCGAGCCGCCTGGCCCCGCCCCAGGCCCCACCCCCACCGCGAGGCGATCTGCTCCCATTGGACTCTTCGTACACCGCCCGCGCTGCCATTGGCTGAGCCTACGTCCTCGCTCGCCCCCACCTCCGCCGGCCCCACGGCGGTCCTTTCCTGGAGGGCGGGGGCGGGGCGGGGCCGCACAGAAGGGCGGGGCAATTGGAGGGCGGGACCGAGCTTCCTGCCCCGCCCCGCCGGGTCCCAGTCCTCAGGCACGAGTCTCGCAGCCACAGCAACGGCCTCTCAGAGGCGGCCGGACAGAACCTCGACGGTCGAATCAACGACTGAATCCCAGAGAACAGGTAAGCGAGCGGTGCTGGGGCGCCCCGCATCTCAGCATACCTCGGGGGCCACTTGGTCTCTCTGTTTCAGTCGCTCCCTCTGCTCTGACAACCCCCCTTCAATCAGAATTCCTGCCTCAGTTTCCATCTCCCTCTCTGTTTCTCCCTTTCCCTCTGTCTCTCTTGCTCTGTGGGTCAGGGGAGGCGGACTGGATCTGATCTGCCTCCCCCCACCCCCCGCATGGGTAGTGCTCTGAGACCAGAGCACACCCAACAAGAACTCTGATGGACTCTGCCCGTTTCACAGTGCAGGGCGCCAGGTCCCAGGGCCAGATATCAGAGCCAGGAGGGCATTCCAGGTGTGGGCAGCCAGGCCAAAGACGTGGAGGTGAGGATGTGTGTGACTTCTGGCTGATCTAGGCAGCTGAGGGCGTCCGGAGCCAGGCCCACCCAGACTGGCCACCTGGGAGTTCCCCAATAGCCTGAAGCCTTGGGCTCAGTTTTGTCAGCTGTGAACTGGGGCTTCGTCACTGAGGTAATTGGTAGTTGACCTGACCCAGATCTGTGTGCATCACCACCCCCTCTATCCTGGGGGGGCTCAGCTGGAGGAGGGGCAGCCCCATCTGTAAACAGGCCTCTGAGGTTACTTCCTGAGCAGGTTTCAGCCCAGCTGGGGGAAGTGAACGTCCTGGGTTTGGGGGTGTGTGGGTAGCATGGGTGAGGGCAGTTCAGCCCAGTGGTTGGGGAGCTTGGAATTTGGAATCAGACAAACCGGAGTTCCTGCTCGGCTGCTCACCACCAGTACCTTGAACAAGTTGATTCCATTCTCCCAGCTTCAGTTTCCTGTCTGAGGGACATAACAACCCCCCAGGGGTGAGGGCAGCTTGCAGGATTAAATGCAGGAACATGGGTCTTGCGTGTCTCTCCCCTGATCCCCACCTCCTCCTTCTCATCCCCCTCACTCACTCTGCTCCAGCCACACAGCCGTCACACTCCACAAACGCACCAGGCACTCTCCCGCCTCAGGGTCTTTGCAGGAGCTCTTCCCTCTACCTGAATGCCAGGTGCCCAGGAGCCAACTTTAAAAAATAACAAGTTGCTAGATGGGCCGGGCCAAGGGCCGGCGGGGCCAGGGCTGGGCAGCTGGGTGGCTGGGAGGGGCGGAGGAGGAGCCGACCCAGGGACGCTGTACCTATGGAAACCAGAACAAAGAACTGTCGTCCCAGCCACAGGAACACCTGGGCTGAGCTTCTCCCACCTGGCAGGCGTGGTGGCCTGGGACGCCAGTGGTGGGTGAGTGCCCAGATCTCTTGAGGGAGGCAAATTGGGGACTCAAACCCCACTCTGATGGAGGGTGGGGGTTCCTAAGTTAAAAGACCAGTCAGGCAGGCCCCGTGGAGGCCCCATGGTATCCCCTTCTGCTGTGTGGTCTTAGGCAGGTCAGGGGCTGCCTGAGCCTCAGTTTCCTCACCTGAGACCTGGGGAGGGGAGGGGCCTTTTGGTTGCTTGGTGATCTGATGTGATGGGTTCAGAAGGCCTCAATGTCCCTGTCTGTCAAATGGGGCCACAACAAGGGTGCCTAGGACATAACTCCTGCTATTGTCATGGAAATAGCTCCAGAGGCAGGTGCTAAAGAATGACTCATGCTTGTGCAGGTGTTACAGACTGAGATGACCTAGAGACAGGCAGGACTTGGCCTTACAGAGAACTCGGGCTTTCACCCCAGAATCCGCCACGTATACGCCTCCATCAGATAACTTCCTCCAGCGTCTCACCACGTGAGGCACTCAGGACTGGTCTTGGCATCCTCTGGCCAAGTCCTTGGGATCTTCCAAGGCTCCATCCTGCAGGTCTGACTTTTCCCTTCTGTCCAAAGGGGCGGTGGAGGTTGGGGCGTGTCCACCCAAAGAAACCCTTCCAGAAGTGTTCATGCTTTGCTTCTATGTGACCTTAGGATATCTGTCTTTCTCTTTGCCTCAGTTTCCCTGGCTGGATAGTGGGGGCCCTTGGACAACATCTCTGACTTTCTGGCACTGAAAGGCCATCTATTCATTCAACAACCTGGTTCTGGGTGCTTACTGTGAGCCAAGCCTGGTGCAGGGTGCCCAGAACCCAGCAATGACCCAAGTCCATGTGGTGCACCCCTCCATGCCCCCCGGATTCAGCTCACATTCATCCAGAGAAAGTCATTAGGCTTAGCTGTAATTGCATGAAGGACTGGAGAGGCAGATGGATGGGGAAGTTAGTTGAGATGGGGAATTTTAGAGGGACTCCTGAGGAAGTGACATTTGAATTGAAGCTCAATAGCAAGAAATAAATAGCCATGCAGAGACGAGGGGCAATCCAGGCAGAGGGCACAACCCATGCAAAGGCCCTGGGGCAGCACCAGGCTCCATGTGCTGGTGGAACAACCAGGAGGCCTGTGTGTCAGGAGCAAAGTGAGTGAGGGGGAGAGAGGAAGGAGGGGAGGGCAGGGAGGGGACGGAGTAGGCCGTGCATGGCCTTGTGGGGCCCGGGAGGACTTGGGATTTTACTTTGAGGGAGGTGGGAGCCCTGAAGGGCTGTGGGCAGAGGAGGGGAGGACTCAGGTGTTCACCGGCGCCCTCTGGCGGCTTCTCCGGAGAGGAACCCGGACCGGGGACGAGGACCAGAGACAGGATGGAGGCTGTGGAGAGGTGAGAAGTGGGTGGAGCCGGGACTCTAAAGGGCTGTGTCCACAGTCCTGCCAGGTGACCCTCGAACCTCTGCCACTTGCTGTTAAAAATCAACCTGAGTCCCAGCCTCTCCTGTCCTCTGCAGTGGGGTGGGCTTCGGTCTCCCAACATTCATTTTTGCCCATCCGTTCTTTACCTCCAACCCCCGTCCCTCGCCCAATCCCTGCTCTTTCTTCAGTGGAGATCTGACCACCATGGGAAGTGTCCCAGTTCTTGCCGCAGTCTGGCAGGCAGGCAGACCCTGCCCATCTTTGGGGTGGCCCCCGAAGGCTCTGGGAAACCCGGTTTGAGAACCACTGGTATACCCTCCCCAACCCCCACCTCAGACAAACAGGTAGCCCCCAGCCCCGCTTTCTCCATATCCAAATGGGCGCCAGATGTGAGGTCTGAGTGATGGTTGATAAAGGGCTGGAAGCATCGGGTACCCTGGTGTTGGCTGGAAGCAGCAGGTGCTCTGGTGTTAGCGGAGAGTATGGAATGGGAACAAGGACCATGGGGCATTTACCATGGCGAGCGGAGACCTGGAGCCCCCTGCCACCCAACCCCACCCCAGGCTGCCCTGGGCCCCTACAGCCAGAGCTGAGGGAGAAAGGTGGGGCAGCAGCCCTGGCCCCGCTGAGCGGGCCCATCAATTATTGATGCCCTTTGTTGGGACATGAAGAATTCATGTGGAGGGCAGGCTGCTCCGTGGACCAGTGGCATGCCGTAGCCGGCCTCACCCCAATCATCAGAGTCACATGCTGTATTGTTGGGAATTTTGCCACCCAGTTGTTAATATCCCCGTTATTAAAAATGACAGACTGTCAATAAAACTGGAAGAAAAAATAAATTAAAAAAAAATGACAGGCTGTGAACTTATAGTCAAATACATTATGTTTAAAACAAAGGTATGGATGTGAATTCCCTGGCGATCCAGTGGTTAGGGTTCCCAGCTTTCACTGCAGGGGACCCAGGTTCCATCCCTGGTGGATAAACGAATGGCACAAGCTGCGTGGCACTGCCAAAAAGAAGAAAAACACCCACAGAGCTACAGAATACTGTCCGTCCATAAAAAGGAGTGAAGGGCTGACACTCGTTACAATGCTGATAAACCTTGAAAACGGGATGCCCAGTGAGAGAAGCCAGACACAGAAGGACACAGAGTGTGTGATTCCATTTATATGAAAAAACAGGCAAATCCATGGAGATGGAAAGTAAACTAGTGGTTGCCAGGGCCTGGGGGAGGGGATGGGGAGTGACTGCTAATGGGGATGGGGTTTCTTTATTATTATTATTTATTTTTTTTTTTTAATTAAAAAGGGACTTCCCTGGTGGTCCAGTGGTTAAGAATCTGCCTTGTAATGCAGAGGACACTGGTTTGATCTCTAGTCCAGGATGATCCATATACCTCAGGGCAACTAAACCCCTGCACCACAGCTACTGAGTCAGCTCTCCAGAGCCTGTGAGTGGCAACTACTGAAGCCTGAGCACCTAGAGCCTACGGGCCCCACCAAGAGGAGCCACCGCAGTGAGAAACCCACGCCCTGCAACAAAGAGTAGCCCCTGCTTGCCGCAACTAGAGAAAGCCCAGGTGCAGCAATGCAGACCCACCATTCCTTCCCCCCAGATAAGAATAATAAATAAAATATATAGATATTTTATTTACTGGGTTGCACTGGGATCTCTGAACTTTGTTGTGGCTTACAGACTCTTACATGCCATGCATGCAGGATCCAGTTCCCTGAGCAGGGATCGAACCTGGGTCCCATTCTTGGAATCTTAGCCACTGGACAACCAGGGAAGTTCAAGGGATGGGGTTTCTTTCTGGAGGGATGAGAATGTTTCTGAATTAAATAGTGGTGATGGTTACCCAGGTCAGTGAATATATAAAACCCACTGAATTGTACACTTTAAAAGCATGGATTTGATGGTATGTGACTTAAGTACTTCAAAATAACTTATAAAAAAGCAAAGGTCATAAATGGTCAAAAATCCTAACTTTCAGGACTCCCTTGGTGGTCCAGTGCTTAAGACTCTGACCTTCCAATGAAGGGGGCACAGGTTCCATCTCTGGTCTGGAAACTAAGATCCCGCATGCCAGGCAGTGCAGCCAAAAAAAGAAAAAATATATCCTTTCTAATTATTTTACTGCATTGCACAATGACCTCTATGCTCTCGAGGTTATTTCTGTTTGGTGGAAATGGTGAGCAGTTCGTTCCAACTCCGTGGTCAAGTTGGAAGCTTGAAACTGGCCATGGCAAGAGAATTTACACCATGGATATTGGCAGATGCTACAAATCAGGGTTTGATGTATTGTTCAGCCATCCTCTAATCCAGAGGCTGGCCAGCCTTTTTCTATAAAGGGCCAGATAGTAAATATTTTTGGCTTTGCAAGCCATGTGGCCTCTGCTGCCTCTATTCAAGGCTGTGCTTTGATATGTATACAAGTGGGCATGGCTGAGTGCCAACAAAACTTTACAAAAACAGGCAGCTGGCCAGAGTTTGCCACCCCCAGTATAATTCCAGGTAATGTCAATAAAGAAAATTAAATGTTAAAGGGTGGTGTGTCTCTAGTTGCTTGCTTTCAAATAGCACAAAAAAACCTTGAGGGGATATTCCCTCACATTGGAAAACCACTGTTGGATTCTGCAAAAAAAAAAGTCACTCACTTGGCCAATGAGTAAGTGAAGTCCAAGTTTTCTCTTCTCATATGAAAGAGAAGATCCAGAGACATCCATGTCAGAACTGCTTTCATTTATCCATAGCAACCATAGATTGGCTTTTGGTACCAGTTTTACAACTGGGCTTCCCTGGTGGCTCAGCGGTAAAGGACCCGTCTGCCAATGCAGGAGACATGGGTTCGATCCCTGGGTCAAGAAGATACCCTGGAGGAGGAAATGGCAACCCACTCCAGTATTCTTGCCTGGGTAATCTCATGGACAGAGGAGCCTGATGGGCTGTATGTAGACCATGGAGTCACAAAACAGACACGACTTAGCGACTAAACACCACCACCACCACCAGTTAGGCAAAACTCACTGAGAACATTTATCAAGCATCAATTGGCTGCGTGAAATTTACAATGAGGTTTGCTACTTTCTTAAGTTGCACAGTGCACATCCTTTATGTCAGTAAAGTTTATGGAAAACACACGTATGTACCTACATGCCTACATCCTCCCCCCCCCCGCCCCCCGGAGAGCTGATGGCTAAGAACTTTGCAGCAGGTGGTGAATGGAATGAGATGTAGCGTTCCCAGTGCACCTGGGGAGGAGTGGGGCCCCTGGGAGTCGGAGTGGAATCCCCATCACCCCCACGCCCAGCGTCCAGCACCGGGAATGTGTGGGTGGAGAGGCCACCCCCACCTGGTGGAGACCCCGAGGCTGGACCATGCTTAACATGTTGCAGGGACAGTGAGAGAGGAGATGAAGTGGGGAAGGTCACTGATGGGTCAGAGGTGGGGGTTGGCCCTCCCCCAGAGTTTGGGGACTGAAAGGATTGGGAGGAACAGATCTGCCGAGCCGAGTGCCCTTCCCCTCTGGGAGGGCTCACATAGAGTCCTGCCTCCCCACCTCTGCCTGGGCAAGGAAAGGATGCTGTC